CTTGAATTGCAAGCAATTTAAATAAGAAACTTTCAAATAAATCAATAAATAACGGTGGAAACTTTGACAGCTAATGACCAATGTGACAAACACTCGGCGCACTCTGCCGGATGAGTTTCCCGTAATAATCCCCATTGGTAGGGTTGGTATTTTTGTGTTTACTATGATATCAAAGAAGAATTGTTAATAAATTTCGATGATTGTCGTTCATTTCATTCCAAACCATACTACCTTCTCAATATTTCAAACTTCTAACCTATTAGTTTAAAACGCCTCTCGAAATAGCATATTGTTCAATAAATAAAGTGAATGTTCAAATTTCGTGGGCTACGTACATTCGATTAGCCATTTTTTTATGTTGGTACATAGCTGTTTAGCACGTTCAGTTTCTTGGAGAGTCAGAAGTAGTTTGCGTGTTCGACGATTTTCTGCTATTGAAAAAAATAGATCACAGAGTGTGCATCAAATGGAATTAGGTGCTCAAAAACACTTGACCTCTTGACAGTGGTATACGGTGATTGTACTCTGAGCCAAAAAAATGTTTACAAGTGATACCAGCTTTTCATAGAAGGTCAAGAAGAAGTGAATGACGGCGCTCGCCCTAGACGCTCCGGCAATCGATGAAAATGTTGAGAAAGTGAAGAAAATTTTGCAAGCAGCTGAAACATCTACACTAAGGAGTATTACCAAAACGCGTCACCTTCAGAACATACTACACAATCCCTCAAACGCACTGCTTTATAGAACTACAAAAGTGAAACTTATAAAGGGGAGACTATCAGACCACGGTTGTGATACTCGCCATGCTACTGCTCTGAGGGTCCCTTCACATAAGAGGGATCATTTCAAAAAATCTCCAATTATATAATGCCATAAATGGTTATAACAGACTGCCACTTTCTATAAAGAGGTTGAATTCTTCAACTTTGTTCAGTAAGAAAGTTAAAAACTTATTACTGGACAAATGTTACTACAGTCATAAGGAATATTTAGAGGATTCTTTCACAGAAGGATAATAAGATATATAATCGTTCTAAATTTTCACTTGCTGTTTTGCTTTAGTTTCAGTGTTCTGACTGGCGATTTTATCGTTTTTTTTT